CACGACCTCAGACCAGCATCTCTGCTCACGACCTATTAAAAAAAAAAATTTAGATTCAACAGAGACAGAGAAGAGAGATAAAGAAACAGGGAGATAGAGAGAGAAAGAGCCAGAGAGAGAGAGAGGCCGCGGGAGAGAGAGAGAGAGAGAGAGAGAGAGAGAGATGTGTGAGATGAGGATAGTGAAACCCAAAATCTGAGATTTGAAAACTGGACCAATAAGAAGAAAGGTTGAAGATTGCAAAAGAGTGGTTTTGAGCCTTTGGATCTAATCAATCAAAGGCCAAAAAAACTGATAAACTATATTTTACTTTATCTATAATTATTTAATAATATCTAAATTTAAATAATTATATATAAATTTGTAAATAAAAGTTTAGCATTTGAATTTTTTGTTTATTATATATTGGTTTTAGAATATAAAATTTATGTTTTGGAGTTTATAATTAATTAAATTTAGTAGTATGATATAAAGTTTGGTCATCATTTATAAATTTTTATGTTTAGACATAAATCTGATTTATAATTCATTTATAAATTTGGATGTTTGATTCAAAAGTTGAAATTTGTTAATTCAGATTTTATGGTTTATAAAAAAACTATGACTAAGAGTAAAGTTTAGTTTTGTAATTTAAGGTTTGGATGTTGCGATGTGAGTTTTAGGGTAAACGACTTAACGTTTAGTATTTTGGATTAAAATTAGAAAATAATAGAGTTGAATACTAGGTATGAGATTTGTAGTTAAATTTTTAATAATTTAGATTTGATGTTTTATTTAGAGTATTTAATGTATAGTTTATGTTTGAAGTTAGGATTTAGGATATAGAGTTTGAGTAAAGATTAAAGATTAAAGATTTGTGTTCCGGAAATTATAGTTTAAGGTTAAGAAGATTATATTTGAGTTTAATTTTAAGATTTGAAGTTATAATAAGAAAAGATTAGATAAGGGTTGTGTTTAGAGTTTAGAGTTTAAAATTATGTTAGAGTTTAGGGTTTAAAACCATGTTATAGTTTAGGGGTTTGAATAGCTTTTTCTTAGTATTAGAAAAATTCTCTTATTTGTCTTCGATAGCATTAATGAAATCTTTTAAAAATATCTTTACATCTAAGTCTAATTTCCCGCTAAGTATTGGCAGAATCAGTAATTTTATTTTTTCGCACTTACTTAATTTTCAAAATAGCATTAATTAAATGTTATTTTAGGTTAGACTTTATCATAGCGTTTGTTTAACACTATCATATAATACAGAGATTTCTAAATCATCTACGATAGCAGTTTGGTAAAACATGCTATAACAATGTGCTATCAATGTAGACATTTTTGTAGTGAACCGTCCGAAATCATGGAAAACCCTAGTCCGCTAGTAGGACTCTCCGGAGAAGCCACTATGGCTCTCTGGTCTATTAACCTCACAGTCAAAACTGGAACCGTGACAAAAATCGTGGAGTTTCTAGTTGTCAATCGACCTGCATCGTACAACGTAATCATGGGCATACCATGGTTGAACTCTATGCAAGAAATTCCATCAATGTACCATCTTTGTCACAAATTTCTAAATCCTCACAGGATCAAAACAATCTGGGGAAACCCAAGGATGTAACGAGTCTGCTTCGCTGCAGAACTAAAACTAAAGAAATTAGATTCCGAAACCGCCCCTAGGAAAAAACCAGATTCGGTTGAGAACGACCAAAAATGAGATTCGGCAGAACTATCTAGCAATTGCGGAAAGACGAGATCCTAGAAGAAAATCGCAAGCCAGCTTGCAAACCTGTGGTAGTGGTTTGTCTTGAGGAAACTTTCCCCGAATGATGTATCGAGATCGGAGCCAATCTCCGCGAACCTTTAAAGACTAAGCTCATAACTTATCGGAAAACAATCTTCATACATTCGCTTCGGCTGCCGAAGATATGCCAGGGAATAACATCAACATAACCTGTCACGAACTGAAGATCGATACAACCTTTTAGCCGGTAAAACAGAAAAGACGAAATTAGAGACCCCGAACGCGCTACCGTGGTCAACGATGAAGTCAAAAAGCTTCTTGAAGTCGGATCGATTACAAAAGTGAGATATCCAGACTGGTTCGCTAACCCTATCGTCGTCAAGAAGAAAAATGGGAAGCGTCGAGTCTTTGTAGATTCATCAACCTAAACAAAGCCTGTCCAAAATAAGTTTCCCCTTGTCGCACATCAATCGACTGGTACCTAGTAACGTACCACAGGATGAAAGCTAATCCAAAACAGATCGATGAACTGATCGGGATGACTTCACCCAAGAATAAGCGGGAAGCACATAGGTTAACTGGGAGAGTCGCAGAACTTAACCGATTCATCTTGCGATCAACGGACAAATTCTTACCTTTGTACGACTTCCTGTGGGGGAAAAAAAAATTGAATGGCCAAAAGAATGCAAAAACGCTTTCCAACAGCTAAAGCATTATTTGGCCACCCCTCCAGTTCTCGCTAAACCCGTGGAAGGAGAACCATTGTTCATATACATCACAGTATCAGCAGCAGCCGTAAGCGGCGTGCTCAACAGGGAGGAGGGTGGCAAACAGAAACCTATTTTCTTCATAAGAAAAACACTGCTAGATGCTGAGTCACAGTATCCTTGGATGGAAAAATTGGCATATACAGTTGTAACTTTGGCACGGAAACTCAGACCGTATTTTCAGTCCCACACAATCGCCATCCTCACGACTTTTCCCCTACGAACCATCTTGCACAGCCAAGCTAGTCGGGCAGATTTGCCAAATGGGAAATCGAGTTAAGTGAGTACAATATCAAATATCACCAAAAACCAGTGCAAATCCCAAGTGCTCGCAGATTTCCTAATAGAGCTACCAACTGGCTCCATAACTAACAAGGAACCAAATTCGACTTGGCTCCTTCTTGTCAGCGGATCCTCATCAAAAAAGGGATCGGGCATCGGGGTCGCCTCACATCACCAACTGGGGAAATCCTGGAAAAATCTTTTAGATTGGAGTTTCGTGCGTCCAACACTGAGACCGAATACGACGCACTCATTGCAGGATTGTGGTTCCCTCACGGATTAAAAATACGCAACATCCACACTTATTTTGACTCTCAGCTAGTCGCAAGTGACTACAACAGAGAATATGAAACAAGAAACGAAAGGATGGATGTGTATCTCAAACTAGTCCAAAATCTAGCTCAAGGATTCGATGACTGCACCCTTACACGAATTCGCTGCTCCAAAAACGTCCAGGCAGATGCCCTCGCTGCCCTGGCATCAAGCTCGGACCCGGGTCTCAAAAGAGTAAATCCAGTCAAATTCATCAAGCATTCGATTATTGGACTACCAGTCATTGTTGACCTCATTAGCGACCAAGACGATGACTCAGAGGAAATCGCACCACAGCCAGAGGAATAATCGGAGCAGCCCGACTATGTCTGTGACACACCATGGCTGGAAACGATTCGAGCCTACATCGTCGGTGGAAAACTACCTTCTGAAAAGTGGGCTGCCCGCAAAATCTGAACCCAGGCTGCACGGTACATAACACTCAACAGAGAAATTTACAAATGGAGATTTTCTGGTTTGCTCATGACTTGTTTGGAGGGAGAAAAGGCGAATAAATTCATGGAAGAAGTTCACTCCGGGTCTTGCGGAAACCATTCCGGTGGACGGTCACTCGTAGTCAAAATTAAACGCCACGGATACTAGTGGCCAACAATGATCGGATATTGCAAGAAATTCGCACGAAAATGCAAAAAAAATCCAAAAGCATGCCCCGACCATCCGTCAACCCACAGACGTACTTTCGTCCATCACATCCCCGTATCCTTTTATGCGTTGGGCCATGGATATCGTCGACCGCACCATAACTCAATGCAGAAACGTTTCCTTTTAGTCCTCACCGACTTCTTCTCAAAAAGGGTAGAGGTGGAGTCATACGCGAGTATAAAAGATGTCCAAGTCAAAAGCTTCGTATGGAAAAATATCATCTGTAGACACGGGGTCCCTTACGAAATCGTAACAGATAATGGATCTCAATTCATCTCTACCCGGTTCAAGGCATTATGCAAGAAATGCAAGATACGATTGAATAAATCGACTCCCAGATATCAGCAGTGTAATGGCCAAGCTGAAACAATCAATAAGACCATTCTAGACGGAGTTAAGAAACGTCTAGACACCAAAAATTGCAGGTGCATCAGAAGAGCTCGAAGGAGTCATCTGGTCACATCGCACGACCCCAAGACAGGCAAAGCGAGAAATGCCCTTCGCCCTCGTATACGGGACAGAATGCATGATTCCCGCAGAGGTCGAATTCCCCGGCGTCCTGAGAAGACTATTACCCAAACAGAAAGAACTTAACAATGCGATGCTGCTAGACGATCTCAACCTCATCAATGAACGCCGAGATAGAGCACTTATCAGGATCCAAAATTATCAACACGCAGCGGCAACATACTATAACTCGAACATTCGGAATCGCAGATTTAATGAGGGAGATTTGGTTTTACGCAAAGACTTCAAAAATACAAGTGAACGGAATGCGAGAAAACTCGGAGAAAAGTGGTAAGGACCGTACAGAATCATAAAAGTCATTCGACCAGGTTCCTACGAGATAGCCATCATGCAAGGCGCAAAAATTCCAACAACTTGGAATGCAATACATCTCAAAAATATTATCACTAAGCAAATCGTTTCTCAACCACTGAACTACGGACGGCTTGATCTCCACAAGGGGTACGTAGACAGTTTGTCGAAAGACAAATTTAGTCAAAAAAATGGTGGAGTGGGTGCGTATACGTATACTCAAGTCCAAAGTATCTAAGTCAGCATTCGATATTTTTGAAACTTTTCCTGCAAACTTCATCAACATCTTTGGTCCATAAATCATACTTGAATCCTCAAAAAAAATCACAAGATCGTCAATCACTAAGGAAAACTAAACTTTCGGCACTGCGAGACGTCGCAAAACGACTAAAGAAACGACTTCTCGTCGAAACATCACAGAGGAAATCTCCATCTCAAAAATTAGGGACTGTCATACACAATAAAACCCTCTAAAAACACGTGCCCTTTGCGAAGGCTGAAAATGGTAGTATCTACCACTAAGTTCGTTTCTGATCACATCGAACTCCCAACGTCCTAAACAGACTAAGTCATCTCACGGAAAATGACTCTCATACATCCGACACAAGGATAATAGCGCTATAAAACAAAATCCGAAATTTTTGTCAGCAATTCCAAGAGAATTTTTTTTGGAGAGATGCTCGATTCCAACCAGACGAGTCATGTAAGCCGAGAAACTATCGCGGATCTAAATCAGAATGGAATCAGGTTGAAACTGTAATAGGATACGTAAGTCGAATTAGTCATTTTACCTCCCAAACCAGAAGTAAATCTAGGTCTTGCCCTAAACCAAGTATACTATTCTTCAACATCTCAAGGCACGATATCAAAGATACGAGATCCTAAAGCGTGCCTCTATGCTAATATTTCAACATCCTCTGAAATCCCAAAAAGTTAGTACTTAACGGAAAACTCTCAAAATGAAAAACGAATACAACATCTCACCCTAGAGAAAGATATGAGATGACAACTCATAATCTTCCTCCTACACCGTACGAATTACCCGCATACCTTTAAAAACGCAAACTGATCATCCATTCATAAAAAGCCGAAAAGCGGTAGGGATTCAAAGCCACAAGCGGCCAGTCCCAAAACATAAACATGGCCATACTCGGCTAGAACAAAACACTAATCCATAACATAACAAAAATCTCAAACGAGATTGTGACCTTGAACAACCTCCAGAATCTTCACCTCTCCTTCTCCTATCGCTTCATCCAGGCTCGGGGCCGCACTGTCTCCGCTTTCCACGACCGCTAGATCTTGCCCCTCTGGGTCTTCTGAACATTTCGGAAGGAAACATTCGAACTTCAGGTCAGCCAAGATGAGGTTGAAACTCCCGTGCACGGCTGCAAGGTCTCCCTTGCAAGCGGACAACCTTGTCTCCTCGGCCTGTAAAGACAAAAGAGTTTTGCCCTCGAGTGCCTGAACCACGGCCATCCCACCATCAATAGTCGCAAAGGCCAAGTCTCTGCTGCGAATGCACTCGAGAGAGCCTAGAAAGTCGGAGATCTTCGCCAAACAGGTCTGGAAGTCAACGTTGAAAGCACATAGGGCCTTTTCAACCCCACAGTTTGCCGACTCCTCACCGCTCTTGATCTAACGCTGAAGTCGACGTACCTTGGTGTTTCTGGCCTTCTTCTCCTTGAGTAAAGAGCTCGCCATTTTCCCGAGGTCCCTCTCAAGCTCCTCAATCTGAACCTCGAGTTTAGACACCTTTACGGAATGAGAATCCTCAATAGCTTTCAGCATGGCTTCCAACTCAGGCAATTTTCCCTGCATCTCCATCAGCTCTCTCGAACCTCAGAACCGCAATCATTGATCATCTAATCGATCAGCAACACAAACTGCGAAACGAGATGACAACTAGAAATACGAAGCAAGACTAAGCAAAATTCGATTCCCAAAGAGTAAAAAGCCAAAGTAAAGAACAAACCCACGGAGTCCTGACGCCAGACTCAGCCCTTCCTGCTGCAAAGGGTCCTCATCATTTCCCCTGATGCACTTCCTCTTCCGGCCCTTCAGTGGAACGACCGGAGTAGCACTTGCAGATGGCAAAGCCAGGACAATATCTCTTCTATCTGAAAGAGGCCGCATCGGCTTAGCATTCTTTTCTTTATAAGTGACAGGAATTGAAGTCGTGGATGAATAAGAAGGCTGAGCCAAAGTGTCCGGCACACACAGAACGCCCGTCCCGGCTTGTACCCCTGCATCTTGCATAACCTGAACCTTGGACTCATGAGTCAGAGTAACAACCAGAACAGAAGGGGACGGAAGCTCGGTGTCAACAAGGACAAGATCTTTCTCAGCTTTGCGTTGAGCTAACTTTTCTCAGAAAGAAAGGAAACCGGCTGGCGCACTATCGGAATGAACCAATTTCGGAACTTGGGAGGTAACTTTGCCCATCTTTGCAACAGAACTTCTCTTGTCGCTTTGGGAGGAAGACATCTTGAAGCAAGATTAAGGAGAGAAGGCAATGAGAATTTGGAAAGAGAGGAAGGAATGAAGGAAATGAGGGAGAGGAGTTCACTATTTATAGAGGTATGAGCATAAGATTTCGATTTTATTTTAGAATATATAACAATTTTTTATTCATCGATATTTTTCTACAGATTTTTGGATATAAACTTCGTCCAACTCGTCAATCTTGCCTAATTCGCCTAACCGCACGCTAGAATCTCATCAATAGTCCACGATTCTAACGAGCTGGGGGACTAACTGTTGGGGTCAAAAATGGTCACGACAAAGTTAACAATCAAATATCCTTAAAAGATAAATAAGAAAACTTCTCCGAAAAGTAAATTTCGTAAAAAAAAACCTTTACAAAAATAGTTTTGATAAAATTCATAAAAAGCCTCAATCGAGTCACCAAAGCTAAACATAGACTATCCAAGAACAACAGATAAGTATCCAAACCGGTCAATACATAGCAACCAAACCAACCTCAGACCAGGTCGTTATATAGCTACCGATCTCGTGCCAAACCAGGTCGCTATATAGCGACCGGTCCATGCACATACCAGGTCGCTACATAGCGACCGGTCCGAACCAAACCTGGTCGCTACATAACGGGTGGTCCGCACAAAGACCAGGTCACTATGTAGCGACCGGTCCCTTGATGATCCGGGTCCCTACATAGCGACCGGTCCACACATGAACCAGGTCGCTATGTAGCAACCGGTCCGATCCAAACCCGTTCGGTACGTGGTGACCGGTCCGCACACGAACTAGGTCGCTATGTAACGACCGGTTCAATCCATACCTGGTCGCTTCTTAGAAACCAGTCCGGGCACGGACCAGGTCGTTATGTAGCAACCAGTCAAATTCAAACCCGGTCGCTACATATCGACCGGTTCGCACACGGACAGATGGCTATGTAACGACCGGTCTGAATCAAGCTCGGTCGCTACGTAGCGACCGGTCCGCGCAAGAACCAGGTTGCGATGTAGTGACCGGTCCCTTGACAGTCCAGGTCGTTCATAGTGACCGGTCTGGTCACAGACCAGGTCGCTATGTAGCGACCGGTTCAGTTCGGGTCGGCTCGCTATGTAGCGACCGGTTTGATCCCGAGCCAGCTTGCTATGTAGTCAGTGGATTGTCCCGAGCATCAATTAAATCAATACATGCATTCTAGTCTTTTCCTTAATACTCTCCTCAGGCCACGGCTAAACCATCTCTCACTCTTTATCGATCGAAGTTACCGTTCAGACTCTACGATAAAACTGCGGAAAGTTTGTTTTTATCGAAAAAAACCGTGATAAACGTTTCGAGTAAAAAGACGGCCCAAGAAGATCTAAAACGCGACTAGAATCCCACTTGCGATTACTTAATAAAAAGCCCGTAAACGTTATGAAGGCTTATGCTTGGTCCAGAAGAAAAGATAAATTTTAAATTTCCGCAGATAAATGTAAAGTTTCCGAAGATCATCACGAAGTCAGGAAAAAATGGAATATCTCCTTTTACGAGCTATGAAGGCTTAAGGGCAGAAGGGTAAAGCGCACCAACCTTGGACGGAGTATAGAAGGAGTTCTAGGCGAGAGGCACAAGGGATAACTTTTTCAGAGCAAACTTAGCACTTAGAGCATTTTGGAAACTTTCTGTTTTAGTTATTTCGAGCTGCGACTCAACTAGGTTCTGCAGTCTTAGGTTATTAGAACTAGGGATCTCGCCGACAGTTCTCGTAGCCAAGGCTCCTACCTCGTTGTAAACGCTTTTACGTAAATTCAGAATAAGACACCTTTTGCTCTCTTTTTGATTTCTTATTTTTATCGTCTTATTATTCTCGTATTCTGATTGCTTAGCGTGTGGTTTAGCACATTTCCGATACCTCTGAGAAATTAGGATTTTCCTAGTTTCCTAATTTAACGGAAATCGACGGTGTGAATTTTGATTCCCACAAATATCTTAGGGTAGTTCAGGAAGTTGCGAAGATTTTGTAAATGTGTATTTTCTAAAAAGCATCTATTTTTGTAAAATATACGTGCGGGTCAATTTAAATTTTGAAATTAATAGAAAGATTTTCTTCTTTAAATAGGAATATATGCATTTAAATATATGAATTAACTACTTAATAGTATACATTATTAGACAATCGACCAAGTATGTAATATATGCTATAAGAATATATAGAAGTTTTTATTAAACCACTTCAATGATTTATAAAATCTAGTTTGCGAAAATGTCCATTTTAATAGTTTAGGGGTTGTGTTATTATCTATATATCCTCTATATTCTCTAATAGATAAGAATGCAACCCCTAAACTGCTTACAAAATATTTATAAAGAAAAATTTTCCTATTTAGAGAATATATAGTTGAGTTGTGGTTTCTTATAGGTTTATAAAATAAATCTATTATTAAATATGACAATGTAATATACAACACACATGTCAATACATTGATCCTCGCCCAAGTTTCATAATGATATACGAACTTATCAAAATTTCCATATTAAAATAAATAAGATCACTGCGAATAAAAGATTTAGTCAAGGTAAGAGAATAAATATCTATGATCTAAAAATTTTAAACAAATGATACAATAATGTTAGTATTGTTATGACTATATAAATTCAGGATTTTTAAAAATGGTATTTAAAAACAAATAATCACATAAGTAAGCACTGTTAGGAATATACTAAAATCCGAAATTTATAAAGAGTATTAAGTAACATGTTAGGGGTTGCGTTCTTATCTATTAAAAAATGTTCAAATTTAGGGATTCGTCGAAAGAATGACTTCATTTCTAAGTCCTAAATGTTCAGATCATATGATTAGATGGTATAAATGACTTGATTTACGTATTTAACATTCATAATGTTATTCAGTTAGTCGCATTTCATTGTTAATAAACTATATTCGAGAATAAGTTAAGAAAGAGAGTTTAAGGTTTAGGTTATGTGGTTCTAGCCGACGTCATGTAATTTCATTTAGGGCATGGTACCCTAATCATTTTGGGATTTGGTATTAGGAACTAAAAAAGAGTAGAGAGGATTAGAATTAAAAAAAAAAAAAAAGGTTTAAAACAAAATGGTCTAAGAGAAGTGACGCAATATAAAAAATGAAATAATCATAGATCAGACTAAAATTAGGAAAACACGATTTAAAATCAAATCATCAAAACGGTTTAAGAAAAACGACACAGTATCAAATATGAATATGGGGAAAGGTCGTAATTACTGTTAATTAAAAATGATAGCAAAGTAAAAAGGTAAGGGTAATTAGTGTATAAAAAATGAAGTGTATCATGTTTTAATAGTATAAACAAGATTTTGATCCGCGCTTCAGAAGCGCGGTTTTTGTTTTACTTGTAATAAAATATATCAAATGATTATATTTGTATTATATGAATGTTTTATGCTTGGATGTGATATATATTTAAAATTTTAGTTGGGTATTTTCACTGAGTTATGCATAACCGAGTCAGTTTGTGGTTGAACCGGGAATCCGAAAATTAAGTGTTGTGAAAGTATGAAGAATTAAAACACATATTAGATCCATATGAAAAATTGGATGGTCCTTTAAAACAAAACTTGGATGGGTCCATAGCCATAAAAGACACAAAATTGTATTACAAATTTGTAGTTAAATATAATAAAATAATCATCAGATTTTTGCATGTAGAAAAGAATTCAAGAAGAGTAATCATTGTTTGACATGGATAAACGCAATAAATATACGAAATATTTATCTAAAAATATGGATAACATGACCAAAATGTCAAATCATTATGTCCTAGAAAGAACATCTTAGAAACAACTTTATAAAAGAATCGTTTTGGAAGATGAGATATATGTCAATCATATCAGAAATACATTTCGGAGTTGTCAAAAAAAAATCATAACAAACTTCATTATAAAATTAAGATTAATAAATAAGAAAAATATAAATTTCAAAATCAAAAAGTTCTTAAATAAGAGAAAAGATATATCCATAATCTAACCCTTAAACTTCTTAAAACAGCAGAATCTATATAACATAATCTATAATAATAATAAACATAACTAAAACCATTATTTCTAAACAAACATAATCCTAAAACGCCTAAAAGATGAATAAATCAAGCAATAAATAAACAAATAAGAGTAGATCAAGCAATATTAAACATTAATAAAATAAGTTTTAAATATAACAAAACCGGTTGTAAACAACCGGTATATAGTGTTCAAATTTAAAAAAAAAAAAGAAAAAAGATTAAACATAAACTTAAAAACTTAAGTTTGAGACTGAGATTTGTTAGATGTTCAGGCATATATCATTGTCTCACCCAACTTTAAACCAATCGATAGTAGGAACCTGAACAACTTGAAGCTTGGCTTCGGCAAGGACCAGCTCGAACTCTTTCATCTTCTTCTCATGATACATGGAAAAAGACCTTCACATTCTTCAAGGAATTCTTCAAGGAATTCAAGTTTCGCCTCAATGCGAACCTTATTGACTTCCTCCTGGTGCCTTGCCTCAATAGCTTTACTCTGGTCACGATACATCAACAGCATAGCCCTATAACGCTGCATGGTCTCAAACCTGCCCCTTTCGTAAGCCTCCTTCACCGTTTCCCCTTCTTACTCGATCATGTGACCTATACTCTGTTTCCCCTTACAGCCCATTGACATCGGAATATAGGTACGTAAAAGACATTGTAGTCCAACAAGATTATTTATGTAACTCTTCCATAGTACGACACCAAGTCAGCAACTTGTGATGTATCTTTTGCACTCGCTCTACACATTGCAGTTGCTTCATCAAAGACCCCACTATTTTGACTTTGTCTTTGGATTGAGTGTGTGTGAAATCGCTGGCCATTCACAATGTAGCCGGTATATGACCTTGCACTGACACGGGGTCCATATGCTAACCATTTTAGTCTCTCTTCGTGGCTTTCAGAATCGATATGTATCTACCATATATTTAAAAAACAAAGTTAGCTACTGTCAGAGCAACAAAACATTAAATGAAGATATTTTGCTAACCTGATCTTTTAACCAAGTTGCAAAATTCGGAATATGTGTACTCCACAAATATGTTGCATCACGTCTACATCTTGCATTCGTGTCCTGTAGATACTGCAGATGCATGCTAGGAACAATAAAAGTATCAGTGGCTACGGCTGATGTATTCTCAAGTAAAAGAAGATGCTTACTCAACATAAGGGTCCACGGCTGATGTATTCTGAATGACAGCAAGGTGTGCCATTTTCTTCTCCATTTCCGAAAGATTAATTGAAGTGGCTGCTGATATTGGACGTCCCTCCAGGATTGCCTTGTTCTCATAGTCTGTATTCCTATCTAATTCCTCTTCCACACTTGTCGTCTTCTTAAGAAACTCACTACAGAAACGCATACACTCTTCTGCTAGGTAAGACTCAGCAATACATCCCTCTGGCCTCGCAGTGTTTCTGACATAGTCTTTAAGTATTTTCATGTGCCTTCACAAAGTAAGAAACTTAGTTAACTTTCAAATAGAATATAATAGAATCTATTAATGAGTAGATATTACCTCTCAAAGGGATACATCCACCGAAAGTGGACTGGACCGCAGAGTCTAGTTTCTCTTCCTAGATGAATTGTCAGATTAACCATTATGTCAAAGAAAGTCGGAGGGAAGAATCTCTCAAACATGCAGAGAGTTTCTACAATTTCAGCTTCCATAACTAATATCTGCTCAATGTCGATGACACGCTGACACAGACGGTTGAAGAACGCACACATGCGTAGAATGGCTAGTCTAGGACGTTTTGGTAATAACCCTCTGACTGCAACCGGGAGCAACTGCTGCATCAGCACATGGTAATCATGTGATTTGAGACCTGATACCTTGGAATCTTCTAATGAAACACCCCTTGATATATTAGAACAATATCCATCAGGTCCTTTAAAATCAAAAAGACGCTTACAGAAGATTTTTTTTTAAGTCTTGGACAATGACCAAGGTGCTGGGGGCAGGTATGTTCTTTTGCCTTTTGTGCTGGGGTGCAGATCCTTCCTAATACCTCGATGTTCCAGATCTTTACGAGTATTCAGACCATCCTTAGATTTCCCACAGTGTAGTAATGTTGAGACAATGCTATTTGCCACATTTCGCTCTATATGCATAACGTCCAGGTTATGTCGAAGAGGGAGTTCCTGGATATCAAAACCAGAAAAAAATATAAACACACTTAGACAAATCCTTATTATCTATTTCGAAAACATGAATGTAAACTCTAAAATATAAGACAAACCTCCCAATAAGGCAGCTCGAAGAATATTGACCTTTTTTTCCATCTACTTAACTCCTCATCATCTACTTCATCTTCTTCCTCTGCCTCAGATTCACTGGAAACATCATCCACATCATTGAATTCTTCAACAGTGGAACTCCTTTTTCTCTTCATTACAGATTCCTTGACATTCCCAAAGTTGTTTACATAGTTTTTCAGGTTATTGGAAATGTCATGACCCGTTAGAATCCGAGTCTTTCTGCCATGTTCAGCTTCTCCATCAAACCAAGCCTTTTTAAACCGATACCTGTGTGTTGGTGGCAGACTCTTTCTATGGGACATATACACATGCTTTCTACAGAACTTCATCCACATACTATCTGTGTGTTTCCCGCATACTGGACAAGCCATTCTCCCTTTCACTTTGCACCCAGCTAGATTTCCATACGCAGGGAAGTCACTAATTGTCCATAGAAGCATTGCCTTCAAAGTAAACATAGATTTACTTAACACATCATATGTTGCCTCTCCTTTGCTCCACAACTGATTGAGATCATCAATTAAGGGCTGTAGGTATACATCTATGCTGTTACCAGGCTGTTGTGGACCGGGAATGAGCAAGGTTAGCATAATATTCTCCTTCTTCATACATAGGTTAGGAGGCAGGTTGTAGTTTGCTAATAGGACAGGCCAACAACTGTACTTGCTGCTTTGCATGTTGAAAGGGTTAAACCCATCCGTGGATAGTCCCAGGCGAATGTTTCTTTCTTCAGCAGCAAACAAAGGATAGTTCTCATTCATTTGTTTCCATGTCACAAAATCTACAGGGTGTCTGAGTTTCCCATCGGTGCTGCTATTACTTTAATGCCACCTCACGTGTTTTGCCATTTCCTCAGACCTAAACAACCTCTGCAGCCTTGGGATTATTGGAAAGTATCTTAAAACTTTTTGAGGGACACCTTTTTTTACCTCACCAGTGTGAACGTTACTCTTCCACCTTGAAGCCTTGCATTTAGGACAATTATCTAGCTTCTTCAATTGCTTTCTGAATAAACAACAATCATTGACACAGGCATGAATCTTTTCGTACCCCATATCGAAGGACTTCAAGAACTTCTTCACTTCGTACAATGATGTATGAAGCACATTATCCTCTGGTAACATCTCTGGCAATGTCTCGAGTAGATTATTGAAGCTCTTGTCTGACCAGCCATTCTCTGTCTTCAATCTAAACAAAGACACGATGGCAGAAAGCTTGATGTGGTTTGCACAACTTGGATATAATGGGGTTTCAGCGTCTGCTATCTTGGCCAAGAACTCATCTTCTTTCTTGTCCTCAACCTCTTCCATCTCGCAGAAGTAAGACAAACCATACTTACACTCAACAGCTCTGTATAACCCAACAACCTCTTCATTCATCTAATTGACTTTCATCTCGCCTTTAGCCACTGAGTTCAATTCTCCGTGATGGTACCAGTCCTTACGCCGCTTGTAATCCTCGTCCATTCCCCATCTGACTAAATGATCAACTACATCACTCCCTGAATGACGATCTACATTGCGACACTCTTTGCAAGGACAAATGATCAAGTGACTATCTCCTTTTCCCGCAGAAACAGCTCGGACAAAGTCCCATGCACCCTTCTCATAAATAGTATCGAGTCTGCAGTTAAATGAAAAAGATAGCAAATCATTCAACTCTCCAATCTCAAGGCAGATGTAACATATATATGTAAATTTCATACCTGGAATAATGAACCCACGCCTTATCCAACATTGTATGATCTATCCTTGATTAAAATTGTTACAACCACAAGAAGGGTCACAGATAACACAATTTCTAAATACCATTCAAATTAAACATATAACACACCACGGTAAACATAAATCAACAAGTATGAAAACATTCACAATCAAGCCACACTAATCAAACATAACCGAACAAATCAAGCCACACAAATCAAATATAACCAAGCAAATCAAGCGACATGCATCAAATTAAAATCATTTAAGAAAAAATAATGAAGGAAATAATTAACCTGTCTCGTGGTTAGGACAAAAGCGAAGCTTGGTTGCTGGAAATCACAGAATACAGAAGAAAAGAGCTAACAGTGGACTCTCTTCAAACAAATCTGAAACAAAATCGAGAAATAGTTAGCTCTCTTTTCTTCCATCCCTAAATCTCTAAGAATCAAGCAACAATGGAGAAGGAGACTAGACCTTGGACTCCGCTAGGACCTTAAACTCGAAATCGAGATGAGAAAATTAGTGGAGCTCGAAATCGAGAGAGAAACAAGGTATTAAAGCTCGAAATCGAGATGAGAAGGGGCCTAGACTTTGATATCGAGGTGAGAAGGGACAATTGAACTCCCTCTGTCAACGAAATCGAGTCGCCTCTGTGACGATATGCTCGAGAGGGTTTGAAAGAAAGGGCTTTGTTTTTTTTCTCGTACTCTTCTTTTGTGAGAATTTTTTTTTTCAAAGTACTTATAGAGAATGTGTTTTATTAAGAGGGAAAAGTGTTATAACTTTGGCGCTTATGTAAATTTCTCTTTAAGTATCCGCGCTTAAGTGATTTTCAATTTCCGCTTACAAATTTTCGCCAATAGGCGTGTTTAACTGCTATTAATCTAAACCAAAAACACAAAATCGGTTATCCATAGCACTTCTGAAAACACTGCTATTCTATTATGCTATCAATACATGTTTTTTTTGTAGTGCCTTTCATTTTTAGATCCTTGTTACCTGCCATTGAGATACTTCTTAATGTTCAAGAAACAAAATATTAATTTTAGGAAACAAAATATAACAAATATGGAAATATAATAAACCGTAAATATTTATTATGTTAGATGTAAGATCTAACATAAATTAACATAAAATATTTCTAACCCCAAAACATCTTCTATATTTATATCCTCTAAATTTAACACATTTATAAAATATTTAGAGAATGGAACATAAAACCGTAACTGATAATCTAACCTTAGAATGACAATATTCAATAAAATATGAACAAAGAACCTAGCGACAGTTTATCCAGACAGATGATTCGAAACACACTAAAATAGAACAGATCTAACAACAGAACAACATCTCATATATTTAAAAGGATAGAAAGAACAGAGAACGAAAATATCGTTTTCCGATGAGAGAGAGTAAGATGAAGAGATATTATGGTTAATGTAGATAATCGAAGAGTCTTATATAGATAAGAACTAAACCCAAACATTAGTGGGTCTAAAGGCTTCACATAAATAGGTAAGAAGACTAATAACCCAAAAGATATTAATAATTATGGAGCCCAATATAATT